AGTAGATGTAAACTGTATTTTCAAACTCATTTGACTTTGGGATGGGAGCAGTTCACACAGACAGGAACACGAATTTCTAAAGCAGGGCAAGTCACAGCTGAAACAGGCGCTAAGCACAAAGTTTAGCCTGGAGCCAGGACCCTACAGGAATATGGATTTCAGTATGTTGTCCAGTCACAAGAAAACTGTATCTGTCATTCCAGTAAATCTTACCTTTGCATTTTGGCACAGGCTCTGACCACTGTCCCTGCGCCGTGCACTCAGTGCTGGATGGGCCATCCAGAAAGTAGCCCTCACTGCAGCGGAAATCACAACGCGAGCGATAGGTGAGATCTGCAGGAGCGTGGTCACAGGTCACAAAGCCGCCTTCTGGCCAGGTTACAGCCTCACACCTCACAGCTGCAACACACAGACCACAACAGAAATCAGCACAGATGCCTCAGGAAGTCAACATGCCAACACTGACAGCCTCAAGTGCTCCGGTGAGCACTGCAGGATAAGCAAAAAGGTACCTGCACAGGATGGCTGCTGCCTGTCCCAGGCCCCAGAAGACCCACACTGCAGTGTGGCTGGTCCTGTCAGGGCAAATCCTTCCTCACAGGCGAACTCGCAGGTGGTACCCCAGGTGAGCTCCACAGAGGGTTGGGAGCAGTTCACAGCACCGTGAGCAGGCATTTCTAAGGCAGGACAGGTCACAGCTGAAAAGCACAAGAGACAGCACAGAGCTTAGCTTGGAATAAACCATAAAAAGTCTTTTTTTCTTTCCTGATTCTTAGCAACATATCCACTAAATGGAAGCAGCTTTAGAAGGGGGATCTACTATGCTGCCATTTCAGAAAGCAGAGAGGAGTGCAAAGATCTCAAACTGGAAGAGTGACTCTTAAGGCAAGGCTGTAAATACATCCGTAGCTCATGATAGCAACTAGTTACAATGCAAAATTTTCCAATTTTGATTGCTGCTTGGTGATGTTTGATGCTTTTATTTGCCTCAAAGAGCAGCTTATTCTAAGCTAAACACTTAAAAAAACCCTACAGTCAGGAGTAACTGGCCTGTTGTGAGCAGTCTCACAGCTAGATCATCTCCATTCCCTGTTCTCCACTAAGAGGT